ACAAAATCCCTATAGGTATTTAGAAGAGAGGTTTGTCACTAACATGTCATCTCAGAACAGGTTTAGAACTACAAGCTGTTCCTGTCTCCTTATAGATGAATTTTATAAGAACAATCTGCTGAGATAAAAATAGCCCCACTGATACCTTTCAAGTGCTTCCCAAGCAGAGAACTCTATATCAGGGAAACAAAAGTTGTCCTAGAGATATCCTTTACTTGTCATTGGGCAGGGTCCCCACAGCAGTCTGCATAAGCAACACATCTTAAACAGCTTGAACTGCTAAAAGTTTAAAAGAAACAGATAAGAACAGCCTCACTTATTAGGTCCAGATATGGAAAAAATAGTCATGCATCTGCTTTTTGTGCCAGACAGAAATGTTRACAATAAGCAGCCCTGAAAGCACAGATAACGGTCATAGTTATGAACACATTTCAGCCATAATTGTATATTAGGATAGCTGTACCAAAGACAAATACTCTAAAAAAGTGACTAAAATATACAAAATAGCAGTGGATATGGAAATGCAAAATAAAAAGTGTGCTCCCTTTTTCTTCTTAACAATGGGTAATAGTCTGAAGATGATTTTGCGTTCTTTATAATTTATTTAGAAAACATAAACAATATCATACATAGCTTCCATTGTTTTGCTTGGGAAATAAATTGTGGGACCAAATATATGAACCCAGATTGAGGATGAATACAATTTAACCTTAAGTAAGGTGGCATTTCCTTGGTGTCCGTCATAATGCTGATAATTGCCCCAGCAATCCAGATCTGTTCCAGGAAATTAAGATCACAAAAGGATGAAGTATCAATATAATACTCTCAAATATCCTTTTGTTATTTACTTAGGTTTTCATTTACCCAGGAAAAAAATGGCCAAAAAATCCAAGCTTCCCTTCTGCTTTGTAGATAAGTTCATAGTATATGCTTAAAAGATATATGCCTTATATCATAGTATATGCCTTATATCATAGTATATGCCTTAAAAGAAAACCCCAAGTATAGTAGATCTTCATCATAGGAAAGTCCTCAAAAATTTCTGCCTGAAAACAGGACTTGTTCTTCCTCAATGGTATAAGGGGGGATAACAGGATTGTGTATTTACAAAGCATGGTATTTCCTTTTATGATTTTTGTTTCCTACAGTACTGAAAACCTTTAACCATTTACGATATTTGTTAGTTTACAAGTCTGGTTTAGACAAATTTTTTTTGTTTTTAGTATCAGATTAAATAATTGAGCCATTTCTAACAAGGAGTGTAGGGAAGAGCTGCTGCTGGGAGCCATCACAGAACAGCACCACTAAGACTGGAAACCTTTTCCATTCCCTCTGTAGCACTCTTCAACACTCCACCAAAAATAACTTGATTTAAATGAAAGAGGAGTAAGCGTGGAATARGGCTGAGAATGAAAGAAGATGACAGAACACTTGGTACGAACAGGGGAGAGCAATGAGAGACTATGACAGGGAGCTGGAAAGGGGCACAGACTGATTGAGCAGGTGACCGGGAAGAGCATTAAGTGTGAACCGCTTTGGTAAAGAGGCTGGGAGATGATGATGGTCCCAGAGGCAAGAAGCATGCATGAAAAAACCTCCAAAGGGAAACAGATGGAGATGATCTGATGGGAAATTGAGGTGCAGAGCTGAGCTTGACTGGCTGAAGAGTGTTGGCCAACGATGAGTGAGGAAACAGCGAGGAATCCACGCAGAGTGACATGCAAAAAGAGAAGGAGATTGCTTTGATACCCAAAGTGCTATGGAGTTAACATGAGAAACTGAAAAGGCAAAAATGAGGGGAAAGAACGAAAATACAGAACCAGAGTTTTCATATACTTGAAGGAAGCAACTATCCAGTTTTACTGGTGTTTTTCCTGCCACTGTTTGTTCCTTTTTATATAGATCTATTTTGGGAGATGGGGGACTTCTATTTCTATGTGGGCTCCTAAACCAAGTTTATCACTATAGTTACTGTTGCAAATAGAAGCAGGACTGTTTGCCCTTGGCTGACATATATATGTTTCTTTGTTGGACTGATGCTTTAAAACAAAATCCATCAATGCTAGAACTTCTGTGCTGCAGAGGTTTCCAAACATTGTACACCTGTAAACAGAAAGTTAATTTACAATTTTACTAACCTTGGTATATACATTGAGGTCCTCTCTAAGTCTGGCATGTACTCAACTCTACTCAAACCTCCCTTGTCACCAACGTCAAGCTTTCAAACCTTCAGATGTGGTGCTGGAAAGAGGAGTCACATATCCACTGTTACTTAAGGCATCATCACATTTCTACTATTTTAGTGAAATTGCCCAACTAGGAATGGCTGTAGAACCTCAAAGCTCTTKCTGACACTGAACACCTTCCAAAGGCAGCGCAGGGTAGGGCTCAGTGCGAAGCCTTTACCACCAGCTCAGGAAACGTTACCACTCAGCTGCCTGGGAGTGTCCCACCCTTGTGACAAGCAGATGCCTCTGGCTGAATTGTGACTTCTGGAACAGCAAGAAGCTCTTTGGCACTGCCTTTCATATGGCAAAGTCCTTTGCACAAAGCTGCTGCTTCATCCCAATTCCTGCTTCTTCTGGAGCTACGAGATGTTTCATTTCATCAACAGCTGGCTTGTCAAAGAGCAGTGACCTGAGAGTTTATAAATACCAATGGAATCAGAGCAGAAAATATTTTTCTCCCCAACGATACTGCCTTAGAGGCAACATCATCTAACTTTCATCCCTTTGGTAAACAAGGGGAACTGGGATGTAAATACTGCTCTTTGTGAGAAGTTTAACTTCTATTTTCTGCCTGATTCTGGATTCAGTGATAACAGGAGCCTATGCCTGACACTGGGGCAAGCAGTTGATTTGTTCCCATTGTAGGCAACTGCATCCTTATTAGAAACACACTGTGAGTCAAAAGCCTTCCTCTGGCACAAGCAACGTGATTCTASAAATATCTTCAATTTTTTTGCAACATAAAGGTTCCTAAGGCTTATAATCACAGCCAATTTTCCCAWCCACTTTGATTACAAAGCTAGAACTTTAGTTAGAATTGAAATTCTTAATGACTGATATTTACCAGCAATTTAGCTTTTAAATACCCRGATGAACATTTCACCTTACTCAGCTATCATGAAAGTGTTAAAGTAGGAGGACAGGGATTACCCGAAGTTAGTAATCAGGGTGTAGGCAATTTTTACAGTAGTTTCCTTAAAGTAATGAACCCTTTTCCTTCAACCGACCTTCAAAAAGCTTTTTTCAGATATATCTTAAACAAATATCACTTAGTAAGTATCAGTGTTGTGAGTCACTGATGCTTAAACTTTCAACCTTTAAAATGTGAACCCACTTGTACTAGAAGCAGACACTGCATTCACAAATAAAACAAGGGCATTATTGGAACATCACAATGAAGACCTGATAACCAGAATACAGATAAATTAGTAACTTTKGTTCCACTTTGAACAGTGCTAGAAAGACTAATCACAAATTCCAGTGTTTGCAGAGAACAACTAGTAACAGTCATTTTGTAAAAGAACTTCCACAATAAGAAATTGTAGCAGAAAAAGAAACCTGTTCAGTCATAAGGAAGTTTTAATGCAAGTTTATGTTCTTTGACACATTTGTGTAAGTGCCTTGGAAATAATACAAGTGTTAAATTAAAAAGGTTGCAATTTTGAAGTTCTTAAAAACTAAGACACAGGCTCCTCCTAGTGGTAAAAACGTAGGAATTATGATTTTTATGTTAAGAAACTTCTAGCACTATTTATAGCTACCAATTAGTCTGTTAGCCTTCCATTTGGTTCTGGAAGGTTTAGAGACCTCTTAAGTTCTTAACTGTTGCTAAGGAATTGTTTACCTAAATATCAAAATGAGTGGGGCATAACTAAAACCCTTGCAAATCACTGCAAAATCACTACTTTTTTTTCCTCCAAAATAAAATTTTTCCACCTCTTACAGTGCTTTGGAGTGCTGGAGTGGAAAGGAGGGAAGACTGTATTCCAAAAGACTTATGCTTTTGCACCAATTTAAAATCCAAGTTGCATTTGGTATCCAGAGTGCAGGACYGTGCATGTAGTAGTGGAAACTGCACAGCATGCCTTTGACTCAGATGAATATGCYACAGCCCCAATATCAAATACAAGAAAGATTTTATATATTTCAAAATATCTTCAGTTTTGAAGCCAAGTCAGTCACTCTCACCTAAAGAGCAGAAGCCCAGTGCCAGTGCAGTTGCTGAGCTTGTTATTGATTCATCCCTGCCACGGAACAGCAAGCACTATATTTAGCCACACTTGTTCTTCAAAACAAATTCTGTCAAAAGTAACAGAGGACCATTTTTATTATCGGGTCCTTTARAAGTCTTACTCTGGGCTGAAGTTTCTGATCAGCCTAAACAATTCTCATCAACAGCAAAAGTAATTTAAAAGGGAGCTGGATATAGTAAGYGATGTTGTGCATTTAATAATCCTCCCCCTATAATTTTATGGTTTGATTATGTTAATAGGCCTACAAACATAATTACAATCTAAAAATTGAAATTGTTTACCTCAGTGGGACCTCCATTGCATAAATGAAACCTCTGCTGTAGACCAAAGTGCTTTCAGTGTTCACTGTACTTAAAACACAGCAGTATGCAGAAAACTACAATCGTTAAAAATTCAGATATTGCTATAACAAAATTTATGCTCTCAGAAGACAAAGAAAATAAATTCAAGTTAGGCTAATTTCATTATTTGCCAATTTCAGTTTTGCTATTATATTAGGAAAGGATGAAAGATCTTCTACATGACACTTAAACTTGTAAGCATGCAAAAAAAAATTTACATATTCAGATGTGCCTGCTTTCCCTATTCATGTATCTCAAACACTTTTGTTTTAAAGATGACACAGATGTTGTGATAGAAGGAAAAAAAAAAGCCCCAAAATTATTTAAAACTGTTTATGTGGAAAGAAATTTAGATTGTCCACTTACAGCCTTCTCTTTTACATTATTTCACGTATGTGTATGGTGTATTTTGTATATAATTACATTTGTTTCAGAATAACAAATGATAGAAAGGCACAGGAGGATGAAAACTGGTTGCTGGTTGAATGACATTTTATTTTCACATTCAGAGAGCTGTACAGTTTCTATAAATAGATGTGATACTATAATATTTACATAATTTCCTCACCCATACTAGTATATTCCATTTAAAATGRTAGATACCCTGACCAAACCAAAACAGGGTTATTACTGGGTGCATTTAGTCAGAGTTCTATGTCAAAACCTACAATATATCCGTTGGTATCAGAGCAATTTTTCCTGGTATTTTACATGTAACATTATTTTCTCTAGACAGTCTCACCTTCCAGCATCCTAAGAGCTTTCCAGACAAGTGCAGTACAGTTCAAAAACAAAAACAGGATGCAAAAAAACCCATTCATATTCAGCCTATTGAAAATAAGGAATGTGATGGATAGTTTTAACTACATGAGTTTCATTATACATAAACACAATATTTTCAGGTCCCTTCATATACAGGTACAGCTTGAAAAAAAAAAAAAAGCAATAGTTAAAAAAAATTTGGAGACAGCAAAATCCTTCAGGCTTCTGAACATGTTCTGCAGGTTTTTGTACTGTGCTTCTGCCAATAATGTTTCCAAGTTTTACACAGCCTTATTCATTTTCTAATCCCTGTGATTAACTACTTTAGGGAGTGCTTATCTGCATCTGTTAACTCTACTGCTGGGGCAGCTACAAATGTTACCTGAACTCCCATTTGAAAATCCACACAAACCATGAAGTGTTGAGGTTTTTCACAATATACYACCTTCAAAGTTCCTCTCTCCACTTCTTTTCCCACCTGAGAAGCTGTAACCTCCACAGATGGACTGATTAAATGACCAAACTTCAACTGTCACATGATATTTTAAGATTATGACAGCTARATTGTTCATCTCTACCAAAAGGGACTGTAGAACTATGTGACAAGAACTCCGTGTCAGTAATTAAAAATGAACAACACAGAAGGAAAACAACAAAAACACAACATTTAAACAACATACAGGACCAGACTGCTTCCACTGTGCACATACCAGAGAATCTGAAAGCAGAAGTCTGCAGTTGTAAATTGATTAAATTGTAACAAGTACCACTAGAACAAAAACCAACYGAACTCAAGTTGTTAGTCATCTTAACAAAAACGGAATTCCAAAGGAATGTCCAGAGTAAGTCACTCACAGCTGGACGCAGATGCTCAAAACTGTCTGATTAAAAGCTCATTTAAAAACTCCATTAAGGATGAATTCAGAAGGAGACTGAACAGGGAAGGCTTAGGTTTTTCTATGGGGAAACACTTGCAGGGTCATACATAAATAATCAAGTTCTCATAAAAGACAGAAAGTGAGCTCCAGTGACTGCAGTAAAACTGGGAGTACTGCATTTCAGTGTGCCAAAAGGTAGGAATTGCCAAATATGATGATCAACTGGAAACTGGTCGAGGTGGTTTGCTTTTGTTTTCTGCCTCTTTTCCACGAATTGCAGCCACATAAGAGAAGAGACACAGCACGGAGTAGCAGATCTCATGAGCCTACAAGAATTTAGAAGAAGAGATACTGAAATTCAGTTTAAATGTTTTACAAAATGCATTGAGCATTTGTATTTTGCTGCATATCTTCCTTCATGGGACAACTACTCTGGCTACAGACAAACTCAGGAAAATGCGTGCCAYATCACCTTCTAACTGAGATGGATAGAGAAGAGCCATATAACAAAATAAAAAATCCCTTTAGGATAAAAACGTTAGTTACTTAACAGTATGATTTAATAATCTTTAAGAACAGTATACTAAGCTAGAAAGTTGGCCAGCTGGCTTTAGAAGAAAACATTCTGCATATTTGCTTTTGGTCTGTTCTATGAAGTTACAAGACATTTCCTGTGAGGGGTTGAAAGAGCTAAAGAGAGGGTTTCACATAGCACTACTGAGTTTTACAATTATTCAACTGATTAACTGTGCTATTATTTAACCAAAAATCCTCATTTACCATGTGACTGGCAGCACAACTCAGTGAAGGTAAGACTTAATTTATATACTAGCTCTAATACCAGCTATTCTGGGGGTTTTAAAAATTCRTCCTGTAAAATCTTTGCACATTTAAAATCTTTTGACATTTAAAATCTTTGTAAAGGTAAAAAACATAACAACGTATTTTGCTGTACTACAGTACAAGCTAAAACACTTCTATAAAATACCTTGTTTTCCATTAAACTGGCTGTTCTAACTAGCAGATAAASCTATTTGCTTCTTAAATTACATATATTCCAAGCATTTTATTCTAAAATATTTCCAGCTTCTTCAAATAATTGTGCTCTCTCTCGAAGGACTGAGTTTCCATGAATCACCAAATGTGCACACTGCACTTCAGACACAAACTGACGACATTTCAGTTCTGATGATAATCATCGGTTTCTATTTCTTCCTCATAAGTGCACAGAAGCCTGATCATGTGTAACAGTGCTAAGTATCATTATCAACTGCTAATACTCAAAAAAATGTTATAAAAACTGAACATTAAACCACTACAATAACTCATCTATACAGGAGGAGTCAGTACTTGCACTGTTMTCTTGCAACTCATTGCTCATGAGGAAATAGGCATTTTTTGCAAACAATCATTCCTAAGAAGTAGTCTCCCTTTCCATGGTTTTGATGGATCAAGGATTGTGTTCTCCACTGTCTTAAAGCTAACAGTTCCACCAGCTCTTATTGTGCTGAAGTTCAATGTTGAGTTGGCTACCTTGCATCTCTGTTAAACAATGGGACAGTGCTTTCTGCACTACTGGTGAATCCCTCTAATTTCACAGAAACAATCACTGAGTTTTGCTGTCTTCCCTAAATGAAAACATCATAAAGAACAGCTGGCTTCACTGTAAATCCTGCAGTCTCAATGTAAATCTTTTCTCCACATGAAAAGTGTAAAGATACATTTTCTAGAGAACCACCAGAGGCATCACAGTTGACTTACCATTGGYGTCTTGTACTTGTGGCTCACCACTTCTTTAGTTTCAGGAACTAAAACCGGACGGGCAAGAGACAAAACAAAAAGTTCAAAAAACGAGAGGCAAATGGGAAAGAAATAGCACAACGTTCCCATAGGAAAGGGAAGGGATGCAGACAGACAGCAGGTGCAGGTACAGGGCACCTCACACTATCCCTCACTTATACATACTTTTACTTCTTTTCATTTACATTATATATATCCTTGGAAGACACTGGTAATGTCATAATAAATTACTCAGGCTGGCAAAAAAATTTTCACTGCTCTGTTTGGCACAGCAGATATCTGATGGTTCTTAGAGACTGTTTTTTCTCATATTACTTATTCCTGCTCAACAGTAAAAATAATGAAAATATATGCTTCATTACCAAATACACCTAATGTCTACTACAATAAAACATAACCCATAAATTCCATAGGAATTTGTCACTATATGAGTCCCAAAGATTTTACCCTTGACATGTTTGAATCCTTCTCTGCTGAATAACAGATCTCAAAAGAACTGCTGGACASTGTATAGCAAGCTATATGAAATCCAGGAGAAAAAAAATTATAGGAGCTGAGGGAGAAAATTTTCTAAACTGGGAGACTGTTTCCAGTTCTATTTTAAGTTTCTCAAGATATTCTTTCTCCTGCACAGGATGTGTGTGATGGTATTTACTCATCATACTCAATGAAAACACTCATAGTTTTTGAATGAGTTGCCTTAAAATAAAATGCTGAGTTTAGCGACACATATTCTTAAAATACCAGGCTGGCTGGTTTATAGAAATCTTTACATAAAAAGAGAATTAGGACACTGATGAAAAAAATGTAATATCCAGAAAATTTTATCTTGTTCCCTTGCACTGCCTCAAACTGATAGAAAGGAAACTGGCATAATATAGCTAAAGAAAACTTGTCTTTTGTTCTCGTTGTGGAATGGACAAAAAAGCAAACTGTGACCATCCTGTAGTGCAGAGTGCATCTGAACTGTGCCTTTGGCCCGTACTCAGTCTGCAGATGTTGTGAACAGATACCATGGGAAATCACCAGAAGAGAACAAAGACCACACTAGAACACACAATTGGCAAATTTAAAATGTTAAGATCAGGGGAATACCACGACGAACTCTGAATACTTCCTTTTCAGAATAGCTGAAATTTGCCATGAAATTTCTGTGTCACAACAAAAGAATTCAGAAGAAGCAGTACAGAAATTATGCAAAATCAAATCATTCCAGGTTCATAGAGGAAGGATAAATGTTTTATTACACATAGTACTAGTGACAAGAAAAGAAACAGAGGYAGATGAGTTCAGTATGAAGAACCAGGAAAAGTCCACAACAAAACCTATCCATGCAGATGTCATTTCTTCAACTATGATATGACACAGCTGAACGCTGGAGAGGGAGACGGATCACACTCTAAGGGGCCAAAAGTAGGCAGTGCAGACTGGGTTTGAGAAAGTTCTCAAAATATAAAGCAGTAGCTACTAATTCTTGTATGTCATGGTATTGTTATTCTTGAAAACAATCTTTTGGAAAGTCCAGAATACGATAGTAAAAATGTAGTATTTTTGTTTTATTTTTAAACTCTCACTCTCCYTGGAGTTGGCAGTTACATTAAGGACTGAGAAACAAGGGAAGTGCACACCCAGGCTGCACTGCCCCAGTGATACCAGAGACTAAAGCTGGGGAGATAAGGAGGTGCACATCCAAGCTACCTTACCCGTTGGCACCAGATGTTCCAAATTAACTCCATGTCACCAGGGGATAAAGGTGGGAGTGAGGCTGGTGCACAGCCAAATAGGGTAGGACTTTTACAGCTGTGTAAGTCTCACTGCCCACTGGATAACATACAACTGTTCATATACTCTTCAAAAAGCAGGAAGGGAAAGCTGTAAGGACCTTGTGCCACGAGGGAAGGAGAGAAGGGAAGCTGTAAAATCCTGTATCATAAGTGCGAATAGGAAGAGAGGGAACAGGAGAGCACCTAGGCAAGGTACTGTCTCTCCACAGTAAGTTGCCTTGTCTTTAAGTAAAGTACTCCTTCACAGTCCTTCCAATGCAGAAAATTCTCCTGAGAGGACTGAGTTAGGAAGATTAAGAAGAGTGGGTTTGCATTTATACAGATAGAAGTCAAAGTACTACCGCTGCAAATACAAAAAAAAAAGAAGAAAGGAAAAAAACTGCCCTCCCAAAAAAAAAAAAAAAAAAAAGGAAAAAAAAAAAAAAAAAAAAAACCAAAAACCACCCCACCACCACAACAAGAAAAAAACCCCGAAAAAAAAGATCCAAGCCTCCAAAGATTCAAGCCTCAAACTGAGAGATTAGCTAAAGCATTTTTCTTCTAACATTAAAAGTTATTCCTGATGCTCGTGAACTGAGTGGATGAATTATTAAGCACCATCCTGCAGCCTTTGGTCCTGTAAATGAAAATATGGTGCTGCCACAAAATGAGTTTAGGGGACATCACTTTACCTGCTGGAGAATGAAGGTTTTCATAGCAGCGGCAGTGAAGGGGCCACAAGAAAGTAAAGCACAAGTACACAGCAGTAACTCAAATTCCAGAGGGAAGAACCTTACATTTCCTYGCTTACTTAAATTTACACTTTCATCTGTGGGACACAATTCCTGAATTTCTGCTTACACCCTGCTCTGAAACCACAAGTCCAACTTTAATRCTGCCATCTAAACCCAGCATTAACACAAATAGACCTTTAATTTCCCGTTGTGCTATCACTTATTTGGAGACTCRTTCTTGGTAAAAACAAAATCTTACATTGAAGTATTTCCCATCAGACTGGAGCATGCATGCTTACCAGACTATCTTTCTAAGAGCATCTACCACTTCAATATGCTCCTGCTACAATGAATCTGATGGCAAGGTTTACAACAGTTAACATGGCTAAACAATTTCATTCTGAAGAAGTCCAAGCAAGTTTTTACTGAATGTTTTTAGTCTACTATTACCAAACATGRTAATTTACCTTAAACAGGGCAGATTGCTGTATCTTCTCATCTTTACAACAATTAAAAAAACAACTATGAGGTAGACTCTAATCTCCACATAAAGAAAAGTTAGTTGCCCTGCAACATCCTTCTTTCTTTTTTTCTTTCTCTGTATGAGCTGGATGGGCAATTGACAATCTCATTCGGTACATCCCAATTGGTTCTTGTCTGTGACYTCTATTTTGTGAGAGAGAATATTTTTAACTCAAGTGGTTTAATTTCTCAGATATGCAATAGCAATAACTAACCAAAATAGCACAAACTCTCTATTCTCCTTAACRTTTACTTTTCCACTCATGCTGTAAAGCAAAAATCACAGGATAAAGAAAGTACAACCTGACAAAACAGCTTCTGCTCCATTCAACAAAAATTAAACTACACCTAGAGCAAAAAGAAACCTTTGCAATTAACAGTAATTCTTTGCAATGAAAGCATGGCGTGTTGAGAAAGATCAACTTTAAATCCTTCTTAAAAATGTGGTTTCTCAGATGAAAAAGGAACATAGCAAAGAAAATTCCCACACACATCCAAGTCTGGTTTTTGTTTGTTTCAGAAGACTCGGGACATTTTCTCTCTCTAATAACAAAAAGCACCTASGTCACAAATCTTATTATGATAAAAATTAATGTGTAAATTTTTCYGTAAAGTCACCCATCTCTCAGGCAACTTCTTATATGCAATCTACATKCTCTCCCATCTTTGAAATTGCAGTGCAACTCTGAATCTGAAGACTGGAAATTTGAGTTACTGCCATGTGAGTACAGACCTAGTATCAAAATAATGTAATTACCAAATTCCTCCAGGACAAAGACTCCTCGCACAGTATTGCACTTTTTTATGTGATTCAGCTCTATGAAAACCTACAAAAACAGGAGGAAAAGTAACATAAAATTAGTTGGGTTTGGGGTTTTTTAACCTAAAAATGAAAATTAAACAAAAACATCATCACAACAGATACAATCTGAAGTTTTATAGCATACACTACCAGTTCATTTACAGTTTAATATATAAATAAAGGGTGAAAYAAATATTCAGAAGACAAACTTGCCACAATGCTAGAAATCAACAAAAAACTTAAAAGTGCTAAGAAGCGAAGACAGCAGAAGATGAAGTACCTTCCGCTCCTTGCAGGAGGAGAAAGCATGGAAGAGAAACGAAGGAGTTAGTAACTCTGACATATCCAACATTGCTACCCCTTCAGGCACTCAAATGAGTTATTGCAAAAAGAATACCAACACACCTGAAATACAGCAAAAGAGGGGGACGAGAATAAAGCTGGCTCCCAAATTTGGCACTGTTTGTAGCCTCTGATCCATCCCAAGTAGTTTCTGCCCCTCCATGCATCCTCCTCCAGCACAGAGGGCAGGTAAGGGGCACTATACCTCCCACCCTGATACCGATCCTTCTAACCTATCCAGCAGTCAATTTAAAACAATGAGGAACCACTAACCTTTCTTCTCTCTGACCTATCTGCCAMGTGAGGTTTTACTACATTTAAGACATATAATGTTGAGAGTTAGCCTTGGACAGTCAGTACCAGCTTCTGCTTTAAGCAGGATGGGAGAGTTTGGACCCTTCTCTACAGTTTGGTCACTTCCCATATGGCTCCACAAGTTAAGTCATTTAGAAAACAAACCTGCCTAAAACTCACGTTTTACATACATGAACCCCGAAAGACAGAAGCAGTTGTCATGACAAGGCTTTCAGTCCAGAACATAGATGCCAATATGGCGTGAATTAACAAGTTCTCTTTGCATAATAAGTTTGTTTAGTATCCAATCTATTTGAAGATACAAAAAACCCCTTTCTTATGTGCACATCTCCAAAAGGGTCAAAGTCAGTACATAGACTTATGAAGCTGTAGCAAGTGCTATAAGCAAACAAATCCATATTCCAGTTTCTAGTAGAGTTGCCTTTCAACACTAAGAGAAACACTAAGAGTAACACTGCCCTAATACTCTAATGGCAAACATCTTAGAGAGGTCCTTGCAAAACTGTATTACAATACTGTGGTGTGACACTTTCAGTGCCTACACATTTATGACATCATGATCTCAGGATCTTTTTTAAAAATGGTACTGGAGAAACTTCACTGTCTTGGAAARAAGGGAAAGGAGAACTTTGCAACCCTCTTGAATCCCATATTAGCAACACCAATGTAGTCATGCATTATATGTTATGCATTATATGTTATGCAAGAAAGACAAAGGAATTCAACACTGGAAATTACTGTGGGGCTTTTTTAAAGAGACTTATCTGTATCAAGAGAGATCAGTAAATGCACCATACATTTGAGATAAGACATGTTRATTTTCAAGTCAAAGGGATTTTATTGTTATTTTTATTGGCAGAGAACTAACCAACAGACCTGGGATATTTTTTGTTCAACATAAAAAAACCAAAGCTTCCACTTAGTTATCAAAAAATCTGAAGCTTGCTTTCTGCTTACATTCAAGCAGTGAAAGGAAAGGAGACTTAATCCCATCTTTTTTTTGCTTGCCTGTTTTTATTCATGTCCTGTCTAAGTTCAGTYGGTCAAAACCATTTTACTTTTTGACGTATATTTACAGAATAAACAAGTCAATAGCAGAATACTTTCTTTACTGCACTTTGCTCTGTTTTTCTGTAATTTTCCCGTGAAAAAWTTTTGCTAGTAGTCTGAAGCACAAAAATTCAGAAATTCAGTAGAAAGGGCCAGGCAAAACACAGGCCATTTTATTTGGGAAGAGTAAAACTGCCTAAGAGACTTGACTGCCACAGATGCTCATGATCTGAGTTAATGTTATGGAGTGCTGCATTCCCACAAGACCTATGAGCAAGATCAGAGTTTATCAAGTTTGTCACAATTACAGAAATTACWCATTAATGTACTTTCAGAAGATATGTGTGAAAGGGCAATTTCTTTCTATATTGTTTAAGGGACAGAGATGCTCCCCTCTCACTCCACCAGAAAACACACATAAAGGAAATAGCAGTTACTTACCCTAGGGAAACTGGTTCCTCAAGACAGAGCACTCAGTGTGGATCCTACTGTAAATGGCATGTGCCTTATGCATCTTATTAAGATTCCATCTATTTTTGACACAGATKAATTTGTAACGGGCACAGGCTACTGAGTCACAATATTACAATATAGATTGTAGATGTGAACTCAGAATAATCTGCCAATGCCACAGGTACTCTTGATTCCTCCCTATTCTAAAGAACGTCCTCCGACCTGCTAAACACAGAGACTTTAAATTTTTTTATTCTTAAACTAAAGTTTGCTGCAGCATGGTGAGACAATCTGTGAACACTAAAGACTCTCACATGTCAGTAACAGCTTGTCCCACCATGCATCTGAGACATTTCCTAAGGAATTCACAAGACGGTAAGAAAGTACACACACTGCAAATCAAGAGCCTTCAAAAACAGTTTCATAACAGCAAGCACCACACTGAAGCAGTATGTTCAGTCTTCTCAGGTAGACTCCATTTGTACTTTCCTTTTAAAAAGAGGAAACCCCTCTTCCTATGTTCTAAATGAATTGTTATGTCCAATCAAGCAGAGCAATAGAATCCCTTATACTAGTAAGCCACAAAACTGCAAAGAATACTTGCAAAGACAGCCAAGAACARGGCCTTTTTATTAAGTAAAGAGGAAGATGAATAGAAAGCTGTGCCTGATGAGATCCTGTAGGCATTTGTTGGTTAGTAACCCCATTCAAACTCAACAGAAATAGAAAATGCCATTTTCAACACCAAAAAATGGCTGTAGGATCCTGAGTTTAATGATGSTTATATGCATACTCTAAAATCAATCACCTGAGGTAGCAGCTCACACAATGTATATGAAAATTGGAAAGAACAAATCATCTAGAATAGCAGACTTTTTATTAAAGTAAACAAACTGGTTGATGAGTGTCAGAATAAAAATGCCAACATCCTTTAGGTCCAAAGATTATAAAACTGGAGGAGATTGGTTTTTTCCCATGGTGCAACTAGAAGGAGTTCTTTATGTAACTGYTACACTTGTCCATCCTACAAAAACCCTCAAATGAAACACTTCTGATATTTGTCTAGACACTTTGATTTGAGAAGGAAAACAAGTACATATACCTTCAATCCCCTAAATGATACTGAAAGCCCTGGTCAGCTGGCAATATAATCTAACAGACCATGAATTACACACACTGAGTAAATGCAGTGTATTTTCCAGAATTATACTTGTTTTAATATCCATCTTAAGTAATGGCAACTCATCTGGCTACAGCTTCATTGGAAAGGTGATGAAGAGAAGGMATAATCACAGGCGAGGGAGACTGCTGGCACACGTCCTGGTTCTGACCTGCACAGACTTTTCTCCAGAAAAGAGAGAGGAATTTTCATCACAGACAGCAAATCAGTACACCAGTCTCTCTAAGGAAGGAYATGATAAAGCTGGTATTCTACAAGTACTGGTAGTAGCACAGGTCTCAATACCCATGATACAAAATAAAGTAATGCTCCTGACAGTCCCAYAATAACAATCAATGCCAAGTTTCCCTGAAGTTTCTTTCTGAATTTCATTCCAGTCTTTCAGAAAAAAAAATTAAACAAGGCTTGAATTTGGAGTTTTTCTTTTGGACAGATACATGTGTGCTCATGATGTGTTTAACACTGAGTGTCTTTGTCTTGTGAAGATGCCTGCTACACTTAAGAAACCATGCTGCTGATGACATGGCTATCTTTTCATAATCTTTTCTCACTGCAAAAGTGAGTCTGCCTTTTCATTTATTAAATGGAGTAATCTCCACAGAGATGAGCAGTTTGAGCGCAACAATTTTTTTGACTTCTGGCAGAAGTAGCAAACAGAACATTCCTATTGTGTGTCCTTACCTTAGGAYAAAGTAATTTCTATTATATCCATCTATAAGGATATCAAACTGTTACTTTGAGTCCAGGGTTTAACTTTCAAAAGCTTTAAACCTGCCACTTTCAAGAACTATGAAAATGCATTCCGTACGCTAACTTCCTCTTACAGTTCTTTGTATTTCAGCACACCAAATAAAAAGAAAAAATCTATAACTTAGTCAAGTAGAGTGTTCCATCACAGAACAGGTTTGAAATTCTACAGCAGGTCGAACATAGTCCAGGTTCTACCATGATAAGAAACAGCAAGAAAACTGAGGGAAGTTCACAGCTCCTCACTCCTTATACTGGCACATACAAACTCAAGGTGGCAGGTAGTGCTGCTGTGACCTTGGGAGAAGTAGTAAATATGCCGAGCATGTGTTTGAGATGCATGTGCACTTCCAGTGGGATCTACACTTCTGTATCCTCAAAGAAAARCAAAGCTTGTGTGGGGAGAAAAGTCTAGTCAGGAGGAAAGGAAAAACACTCCACAGAGAACTGACAGAAGCTTTTCTTTCTTACTCTCTCTCACACACATACACACACACTCCCTTCTCCCCTAAAAATGGATTCTATTGTCTAGCACAGCATGCATTTAATATCATATGCAAAACAAAAAAACATAAAGCAAAATAAAAAACAAGGATCAAAGGAAGCAACAGAAACAACATCCAGAGAAAGGAAGAAATGACAATTCTACTTGTGTTTCCTCTATGCCCACAATATCTGCTATTTGGAAGGAAAAAGGAACCAGTATGTTTTTCTAATCTTTGTGAATTACATCAAGAGCCAATTTCCTATTTTATTTTCATACTGACTTCTACAGATAATTTCTAAAGTTTTAAAATAAGATAGGTTAAATATAATGCAGAAGGTTGCCTTCTGTACCTGCAATATGCACACACTGTATCTTTAAGACTGCCTGCTTATGCAATGAGGATTTGTTCATGGTGTGATGCATTACAGCAGCTTAGATTGCTATTGATCACTTCTTCTGCCCCTTTATACAGGCTAACATTTGGTTTGAGCTTAGACAAAAAGAAACAAGAAGCTGAAAGATAGATCAACATCTTTCTTTAACAGCTTATAGTTTTCCTGAGGATATTTAATTACAGTGTGTTTTTACATATACACATATTGACACGAGTTGCGTCTGAGTGTAAATATAGTTAAGTTTTTTTACCCACATCAAACTAACCCTTGTCCTTGTTGATACTCTGGGAAGAGGAAACACCTATACAGACGTGCTGCAAAAAGCTTCATGCTCGGTCTTCTCATGGATTTCCCTCATACCTGACTGTGCATAAACTTCAGGTTAATTCCTTCCAGTGTGACTTGAAGAAGACCTCCTTCACCGGTTTTCATATCCTGCACAGGGAACTCACCACCCAACTCAGGACCTGTGATGTTAATAAAGGAAAAACACCAAAGCAAAACAAAAAAACAAAAAGTGGTCAGTCAAGTCATGGTCTGTGGAAGGGGAATATAAAATAGTAAAAACAGAATTCCTACTGACGTGCATAGGAAAAGGACACTACTGAGAATAGTAGGGAAYTTTTCAGTGAGTCCACTCACTAATGACAGCTTTCTGAGAACCACTAGAATTTTAAGTATTGTAATAAATTTCATTCTGATAACATGAAAGAACATCAATGTCAGTTCATTCGGTATTTATTGTACTTCATATTGGGGTATTGTCTGTTTGCTTTAAATGTTACAATTCATTTCTGCATAGTAAGACACTGCAATCACATAATCCACAGAGAGCACAGTCGTAAATACAGATACACAAGCAGCACAAATGAGGCTTGCATTTGTGAGCTGCATTGCATGGTGTGTTTTAAGCTTTTAGTAATTAAAAAGTCAACATGATTAAAATWACAACAATGTAATAGAGGATATTAATAGGTGAATAATCTAGGCATTTTCATCTAGTTTATTTTGCATTTTCAGTTCAGCTAACAAGGGCTTTCTTAAACTGATTTTTGAAAAATTCTCTTTTTTTCTTTGGTTTTTCAGAACCACTGAGCTCTGGGGAATGGTTTTTTACACAATTCAAACACTTTTCAAACACATTGCTACTTTTTAATCCTCCATTATTGCCCAATTCTTAAAATACCTTTCAAGTACCGTCTTGCCTTCTCTACCCTCAGTGAAATTTCAGTATTTCCTCCCCATTCTCAAATTAAACTGGACAAGAAAACCAGTAGGAGGAATTAAACTGGTAGGAGGAAGCTGCTCTAAACTCCAACAGCTAACCGAGGTTGAACAGTTAGCATACTAGATACAAACACAAGTCATTTTCTCAGTCATGCTGATGCCAGTTACAAGTATAAAATGTAGATCACTTAGATACAACATTAAGACACACCTAAAATAGGCTTGTACCTCAAAACATAGCTCTCAGATTCCTACCATCCATTTGAAAACAAAAGGAATAGTTGCAACAAAAATCAAACTAGAAAACACAAAACCACAGTGATGTTACCCTGAAACTGCAAAGGAGAAAAAAACCATCTTATGCAGGTATAAAATAAGCCACTTTCATGTTTGTTACTCAAGTACATAGAGCCCCTGCTCCTCTCTGGGGAGTAAGAAAAGYGGAAAATTGCCTTCCCAAGAACTCAATCTTCCAAAACTGCAAATCCACTTTTTTAAGCCTTTCAGACTCAATAGGAAAAAGAAAGAGGCGTTTGCCAAGAAAAAAATTACCAGTGTAATCATATTAYCCTGTCCCAGACAATGATGTAAAACTAATATATGTCCACACTAGAGAGGTAATACTGACGTAAAGACATTGCATTAAGTGCACCTCTTGAACTGCACCAGTATGAGGCACGTCAAAAGACATTAAGTTTCTGAAAAAAAATCTGCAGAAATCTGCAGATTCAGTAACACAAATTATATTTATTAGCCTCCATTTTCAACACAAAGTGGACAACATAGTTTTGTGTCTCAATCAGGAATATTAGCAGTGGTTAGTGAACCATGAAGAGAAAGTGAAACTGATGTTTCAAAATCTTTTTTAGTTATCATTTTGCTGGCAGCTAATCCTCCTTACATGTAACTCTCCTTTATACAGGCTGTTCTGGTTATATCTGTATTGAGACTGAAATGAAGAGGACCAGCTAAAGACAACAGTCTGCTACTTGCACGCAGATGTACAAAGTTACCTCAAGATTTCCACTAAAAGGAGATTATGTTCAAATGAGTTATTAATTAAAAAAAACTTGCTGATTGCAGATTGAACAACAAATGTCAGCAACATGTAAAACCTTGTACCTGGTTTAATGCTTTGCTGTCTTGCTGCTGCTCGCTCCATACTGTCTTTTACACAGTAATACAGTTCCCGACACTAGCAGATACAAGAAGAGTAACACAATGTTATTTCTCCAAATTACTAAGGGAGGGAAAAGAACAGCAAGATTCAAAGATTCTRCAAAAAGAACAAGTCCCACGTGGTACACAGTGACCAAAAGATGATAAAAGTTCAAGCACGCCTGCTTACAAGTTAATATTTACATTTGTTTTTCAGATAGAGAAACTTTTTCRTACCATTTCAACACATGAGCTAGTRAAGAGTTCATGCCTTGGCACATTCTAACCAAACTTACRCAGTTTCTTACTGTAAAAAAAGCATCAAAGCAATCCCTCCCTTTCTTTCAGCTTCCAGCAATCGATATTGCTAGTCACACACTTATTACCTATCTTTTTGTTATTCATATCAATTTTCTTATGGCATATTCTTCATCTTCCTTCAAAAATAAGATTAARCCATAATCTCAGAGCAAAATTCAAGAAAAATTTCTATCCACAGCCCAAGATACAGGACATGGAGAAGGTTGAGGTACTCTATACTAGAAMGGAACTAATTTGAGGGATGGACAAACTCAAAAGACTTGTAATCAACAGCTCAACATCCAAGTGGAGACCGGTGACAACTGGTGTTCCCCAGGGGTTGGTATTGGGTCAGTGGGACTGAGTGCACCCTCAGCAAGGCTGCTGCCAGCACCAACCTGTGTGAGGTGATTGACACACTGGAGGGAAGGGATCACATCCAGAGGGACCCTGGCAGGCTTGAGAGGTCTGTGTGAACCTCATGAAGTTCAACAGGCAAATTGCAAGGTTCTGCACATGTGTCAGGGCAATCCCTGGTAAAAATACTTACTAGACAYGGTATGGATTGAGAACAGGACTCGGGGGTGTTGGTGAATGAGAAGCTCCAAGTGAGCCAGCAATATTCTCCTGCACCCCAGAAAGCCAATCATGTCCTGGGCTGCACCAAAAGCAGTGTGGACAGCAGATCAAGGGAGGTGATTCTGCCCCTTTGCTCTRCTCTTTTGGGACCCCATCTGGGGGATCTGCATTCAGCTCTGGGACCCCAAACATAAGAGGGACAAGGACATGTTGGAGCAAGTTCAGAGAAGGGCCACTAAGACCATCAGAAGGCTGCAAAACCTCTCCTGGGATGACAGGCTGAAGARAGTTTTGGGATTKTTCAGCCTGGAGAAGAGAAGACTCCAGGGAGACCTTAGAGGAGCCTTCTGGCACCTAAAGGGGCTCTACAAGAAGGCTGGAGAGGGTCTTTTTACAAGGGCATGTAGTTATAGGATAAGGGGGATTGGCTTAAAACTGAAAGAGGGAAGGTGTACATTAGGTTTTAGGAAGAAATTCTTCACGTTGAGGCTGGTGAGGCACTGGAACAGATTGTCCAGAGAAAGCAATCCTGGAAGTGCTCAAGATCAGCTGGATGGAGCTCTGTGCAGCCTAATCTACTGGAAGGTGTAGATTGTGYTTCTTCTAACAAAATAGCTAAAGGTCATTTATTAAATTACTTTCTGGTGTATGATAGTCATCAAGTAAATRACAAGACACAATGCCAGCTTCAAATGTCAGTGCTGCTAAACTGCCACTGCAGTTCAGTAACCAGTACTGGAAAGAGASTGCTATTTTTTGATTAAGCATGGACTATGACACAAGAAGGATTTGCTTTTTCTGTGCAGTTATCCCTGCAGTATTGTGTGAATTAAACAAGATACGTACCTTCTTTGTGTAGAACTTGTTCAGCTGTGTCTCCTGACCATTCCTGCGCCAGAGGCACAGCACTTTTGTTTTGGGACAGTAAGTCATGTTGATGAGTTTCTCATACCACCAGCGTTCATACACAGTTCCAATGTTGCTTCTCAGCACAATACAATCATCACATACCTGGGAGCACAAAACATTATATAAGATTTCTAATGTTATTTATCTTATTTCTTCTGCTACTAGTTGCATTATATGTTATTCTTGTCTCTACCTCCATGAAAAATATGTCTCCTGTTGTGTCTGTCCCAGCATGTACTACAAAAGTCTGCTTCTTGATGTGGCGGCTGCCACTGGGTCTCACAGGGAGCTCCCGTCCATTCTAGGAAAAAACCCACATGCAATCATTAATGAACTTATAAAAAAAAAAAAAACAACATTAGGTAACACTAGAAGCATTCTCAACAAACGAAAGAAAGAAGTGTTTTACAGTATTTAATTAGGTGATTTGAGACAATTTTGGACAAAGTCTTAAGAAAGATACTCTAGTAAGTTTAGTTTAACAAGCGTACTATGAGAGTTATCACAGCATACAACAACATTCACAAGGTACCACACTCAGTACRGGATAGTGAAGTGTCTGGGTTCTGGTATCTTTGCAGTAAACTGGTCTGGTTTTTCCCAGTTATTTATAAGATAATTTTGAGTCTTTTCTGCACAGAAAAATAAGTTCCAAATATAAGAACTTAAAAATGTAATTGAAAARTTACCTTTAAAAGAACCTGACTTGTGTCCACCCTAGTGATGGTTGTGTTAAAAGCTAGATAGATTTACTAACTGAGACTTTAGCTTATATTCTTATTAATCATTACAGGAAGTAAAGTTTACTCTGTAAGAATAGCGGAAAGAGTTTTGTATAGAAACTGATTGCTGCAAGTCTTACAGTGACCTGGAAATTGATAGAAAACKTAACACTTGTTACAGTCATAGTAATTATAAAGGTTTCCACCAACAAAAGGGGCATTAAGAAAACAGGGCTGCATAGAACTGTGGTACATAAGTGTCATGTTTATACACGTTTGTATTGCAGCTCTAATTGATAACTGTGTAACATTATAACATTATAAAAAGTATCATACAATCACAGTTTTTATTGTGTACTTGTGAAGGATAGCATTTAATAATTCAATTTGATTATTTTTAGTATTTTAATATTAGTGTTGCAGAGAATATAYGTAAGATTTTTCAGGCAATTTTTTGTTTCTACGGCAGATCCCACAGGTATATCACTCAGCACAGTTTTACTTACCAGATTGGCAAGTTTGTCTAGAATATCATTTATTTGCTGGCTGTGCACCAATCCAATATGTGATTTTCCCATTAGACGACGCACCTTTTTCCTAATATCATTCTTGTTCACCTAGAAAGCAGATACACATACAGTTGCATATTCACAGGAGTCAACTCTTATCTCCCAAACACATCTTGGTTTCCATTGCTAAGAAGCAGAACATCTGATCTCCAGCTCTGTCATGCTAGGGCCTCTTTAACTCAGCAGTACAGGAACAAATTGCACAYATCCCACTTTCTGCCAGCTCCTGTATAAGTGATGCTGGACACAACAGATTTCCTGCCTATCCATGCACATAAGCTGCTGTTCCACTACCCACCACTTCCAACTACTGACATCAAAAGCCTCAGTTCTCCATGCTTTCACTCCTGAGTCCCATCAGCCAGACCAGCTTCTCTACCTCTGCAAAGACTCAATTTACTCAGCTCTGGAGCCCTCAACACAACACGGTCTCTTTCAGAATTCTCACTCTTTCACATTGTATTTCCTGGTCACTAGGCTGTGGCTCTAATAAGCACTTCCAGATAGTCTTCAAACAGCAAAAGGTTCCTCCTGAATTTGCAGGGGAGCTCAGAAGCAAACTATTTYTGCCTGGGTTGTCATTTCAAAAGGCTATTATGTGAATGCCAGTCATTGATACTAAAGGCTTCAAGGCAGTACACTCATGTTTGAGTGCCGATTTCAAGCTGGATCAGACGTTCTTTTTTAACATTGGCATTATGAACTGAACATTACAGAGCATACAACCTACACTCAACTGCTTCCTTCTTTAGGTAAGAATTCTGTGTGCTTGAAAGATAGCACTGTATTTTTCAAGATATTTTAAAATTAAAACCTACTAGGCTCTATTACCCAAAACAAGAAAATAAACTGAAACACCAAGGTGTTGGGTTTGAAGGATTACACTTCCCTCGACAGCTCAAATAAATTCATCTCCCTAGTAACGGGAAGCCTTCCAACTCTGCAGTTTCTATTAGAAGCTGCCCTTATTATCCACTGTTCTGAGTTCCATAAACATGGTTTCAAGACAATACCAACAAAAYATACTGCTTAAATCTGTGCAGCCATCTATTAAAAAGAAAAAGAMGTCACCTTTATCATAAGCATATAAGCAATCATATTATGCAGCAGTGTAGCCAATAAGCGATCCTCATCATCCTCCAAACGCTTTCGATCATGTTCTCCCAGGGAAAGATACCTGCAAGAAGAGCAACATCTGAAGCAGACTCACAGGCATTCTTCATTCACTTCACTAAAGCACTGGCAGAGGACAGAGCACTATTTGTAAAGTATGTGGCAAATAAAACCTCTAAAAACACTAAGTCAAATGGACATTTTCCAGTAAAACACTGCGATCAGTAATTAAACATTTCCCTTAATTATTAACTAGTTGAAACAAATAACATCTGCTCAGTGGGAAATGTGTTAGTGGTCCACTGGGCTTAYCCATTTCCTGTTCTCTGCAGTCAGAGCTCCATGACAATTACAACTGTCAGAAAAGGAAGATATAACATGGCAAAAGAGCTATCCAGTATTAGAGCTTAAATACAGCTGCAGAAAGCAGGCAGAAGAAAGCTGATGAAGGAAGCGCACCAGGCACTCTTTTTACAGTAAAATAGGCAGTTTGTGGAAAATTAGTTTTTTATTTTGGCTACCAGATCTCATGTTCCATTAAGCAAGGATAGAGGCAGTCCAACTGCAGATGGTAGACAACAGCAGAGAATGATCAGCTATTAACAGAGTTGGGGGGGAGGAAGAGGAAGTTAGTGAAGATTGACATCTCAGAACCAGTCGAGCCTTTGGCAACCAAACAAATATTTCTAGAGAGTGGTTTCCTCATGGGTTTTTGTTTGTTATCACTACAAGCTGTTCAAACACTTTTAAGTTACTTTGCATTTTGAGAAGGCTCAAAATGCCATTTCTGAAAATATTTAATTCTTTCACTTTATATCAAAACACTATTATTCTAGAATATAGTCATCCTGCCACATAACTCTCTTTACTACTGATCTAGTCTATTCCATATGTTCATACTGTGTTATGTTTACATCACCCATTTCTCTGGAAACATCATCTCACCATGAGAGTTAAAAAAAATATATGTTGTAACTAATGGTAAATACTTCAGCATCAGGAGCTAGTGGCCAACAGAGAGAAAGAAGGCTCATTTTGGAGTAGTCAGGTAAAGTAACAAGGTTTACAAAGTGACAATGGTATGTTAAGCAGAATAAAAATAATTTTTTTCCTGCTATTTTTACTGTTTCAGCCYCAGGTGAACAATGAGAAGGAAAAAGGTCTACTAAAGAATTTACCTGTCAATCATTTCCTGAGGTCCCTGGTCCATCCCCATTCCTTCTCTTTCTAACATCACAGCATCCAAAAAAGCGTCTTCCCAGAACTGCATCTGGTCCCACAAAGTTGAACGCTCTTTGCCTATGCAATGTATAAAAAAGTTGAGCATTTATTCATTTACTCCAGTCAGATACTTTAYKATTAAGTCCTGTTCATTCCCACTCCTTGAAAATACCATAAGCCAACACACAATGAAATTATGTTAAAAAATAAAAAAAYGTTACTTATAAACCAAAACCAATATCASAATTGAAGAAAAGTGTAAAAGAAAAGACAAATCTCTCATTCTTATCAACGGCATAATATTTTTAAACCCTTACAGAAAAGTACCTCTCATCTCTACTCTTTAAGGGTTATATCTTCTTCTATAAACTATTAACACCACCCAACAGAGACAGGAATATCTCACACAGATACAGATCACAGCAAACAAACAGAGAAGTGGAAAGATAAGATTATTACTCAGAGAGAAGGTTTCCATTGCAGCATCCTCTAACTGGTCCCAGACAGATCCTTTATCCCTACCTGCACCATTCCAAGCAGGTAGGAACGATAAATGGGAAGGATGAAAAACACAGGAAGAGAGAGCTTTTGATTAACAGCAAGTCCAGACAAAATACAAAAAAGCCAATGTACTTTTCATTCAAGGATACACTTGAAGACCTTTAGTATTCTGAGCTTTGTAGCCCTCTGTTCAATGACTTAAGCTGAATGATCTTTTCTCAAGACCAGTGATATTTTTTAGCTTTCCATACAGAGCTAAGTTCCTTCTCCCCTTCTTCACACAGTTTAAAGAATTCAYATTCAGGAAGAGCAAGAGACTTGGACAGACTTCATTTTATGCAAACTACATCACTCACACCAATCTCCTCTTATTCAATTTCCCCAGGAAAACTTTGGCTTTACTCTGCATGGTCTGATGTGCCTTCCTAGTCCACAAGCATGGACAAAAAGTTAAGAACAGTCTCAGGGAAAGTGAAAATTCCAGTCTGTCCCAAACGTGACTTAATCTGAACTTCTGCCCATAAGATTCCCTCCCCAAATAAAAAAAAATAGCTTACCCAAAAGTCCTTCATAGAGATAGACACGCTGGCTGCCATCCTCTGGACCTCTCCCTGGAGTACTCCCTTTGCTATCCTTCACACTCTGCTTCAGGTTGTGAGACTTGGCCTGAAAATAATACAAAAKATATTGAAATTTAATTCTGGGTTCTCTCTTGAGCTGCTGGGTTTAATAGATGCAGTTTGCAAGCTATACTTCAAAAAAGCTTCTCCCACAAACGTTCATAAAACAAATCCTTTGCTCAAAGAGCAGGGTAATACACTTAAACGTCCAGAGTCAAAGAAAAATCAAAGAGAGACAAATACTGAAATCAAAACACAGAGGAGGCAAAGTGCTTCCCGGGAGGAAAACAGAGGCAAAACAAAAAAATGCAAGCCCCAGAATAAAGGAAAGAGAAGTTAAACTTCTTCTGTCATCCCCCATATTTCACGCTTATGCATTCATAAAGATATGACATTAAGCAAATTATTACATATAATCTGGCCTGAAGGTCTGTGAATTGGGACTATAAGCCAGCAGGAGCTGTGACAATAAAACTGGGCCATTTATTTCTCCATGACCAGGTAAATTATGGTGTGATACYTGAATTCATTGTACATCATATACACCCATTATCTTTGTTCTACATCTCTTGCAAGGGTTCTTAGAATTCCATTTCGTTTCTATTTAGTTCTATTCTATTTAGTTTAGTAGAAAAACACAGAAAAGTAAATGTTAAAAAGTCTAATTTCTTAGTAACTGAGAGGACACCCTCTTGCAACTAAATAAACAATCATTGCATCATTACATGCTTTTTGCAGAAATCTGCCATGAAACACAATGGTTTTGTTTGTTTCTTAACATTAGAAGTAGAAGCCTTGTAAAGGCTTTTACAATCTTACCAGGATTATGAAATAATGACCACACTGAGACCAATCTTAAGGCACTGCAAGTTGTTTTCTTATTTCACTGAGAGCTTGATTTAGCCAAATCGAGTGCATCATTATTTTCTTGGTAAGGCGTATGTTAGAAATTGTACATGATAATCAAGGACTTTACAAAATGAAGTGCTTGCAAATCGTTTGGATTTTACTGTATACAAATTTTCCAACTAGACAAATATATTTAAAAGTTATGATTACACTTCAAATAGGACTAAAGTAATATTTTAAAGAAACAGAAAAGCTGCTAAAACTAAAATGGATTACTCCTTTCCTCTATCAAAGAGCTGCTCCTAAGAAACAGAGTATTTTCCTTGTTAAGTACAAACAATGCCCACCAATGTCGTATTGGCTCTGAAAGGCAATTAAATGTCCATTTGGTTGACAGAAATATTGAATGAATATTAAATATTACTAGAGTCTGTAAGGTGGTGCAAGATGTGAATTTACTACTTTTGAAAAAGCATTCATTGCACAGGAAACGAAGAAAGGTATGTGGATCCAGACAAAAGTACATCTCTGACATTTTAACATTATAAGTCATTGCTGATTAACCCTTGGAACTGAATCAGAGATTCTCTTCCATACATGCACACATGTTGAAATATTACTGTACAAGATCTATTTAAAAAAAAAAAAAAAGGAAGTCTGCAATGCCCTTACAAAGATAGAGCTAGTAGCAGAGTTTGTCTCAATTTCACTGTCTGACACAGTGCCTCTGGATCCTGCCAAATTGCCACCATTTTCCACACTCGGGCCATCACCAGCATTGCTGCTCAAGTCACTGTCTGCTCCCAATGTTTCTCCAGAACTGTTACTAACCTGTGGAGAAAAAATAAAGCAATTACCTTCAACAGACAAAGACAAAGGATAGAAAAGTTGTAAAATGTTTCTTCTTAAGGCACAAAACAAGTAGTACAACTGAAGGCTGTATTTGYSTTTTCTTCRTCATTATCTTTTCATCAAATCCTCCTCTGCAGGAAGAGGTTAAGAGACACTCAAAAAGCCCTTCAGAAAAATCACAGAACTGTTTCAGCTGAAATGTATCTGTTAAGATCATCCGCAGGCAAGCCTGCTCTGCTCAAGCAGGGTCAGCTACAGCATGTTCCTGAAGACCATGTCTGGTTAGGCTCTTTTATTTCTACAAATGGAGACCTCACAATCTCTCTGAGCAAACTGCTCTAGTGTTTGACCACTCTCAATATAAGAAACTGTTTTCTTGTGTTCTGATGGAATTTCCTGGCTGCCTCAATGGGTATTACTGAGAAGAGCTTGGCTCCCTTGCCTCCATTCACTCCCATCAGGTATTTACACCCACTGATTAGATACCCCCTGAGTCTTCTCCAGATTGAAGAGTCACAGTTCTCTCAGCATCTCTTTTAATGAAAGATGCTCCAATCCCTTTAATTGTCTTTGTGTCCCTGAGCTGGACTCMCTCCAGGAAATCCTTATCCTTCTTGTATTGARGAGTCYAGAAKTGGATATACYCTATTGCAGCCYCACCAGTGCTGAGTAAAGCAGAAGGTTCACTCCCTCAACCTGTAGACAATGCTCTTCCTAATACAGCCCAGAATACCRCTGGCCTTTTCTGCCTTGAGGCTGCACTACAGGCTCACAGCCAGCTTCTTGTCCATGAAGATCCCAAAGTCCTTCCCAACGTAGTTGTTTTCCAGCCAATTGGTCCGCAGTGTGTACTGGTGTTTGGAGTTATTCCTCCCCATAAGTACCACTTGGTGTTTTCCCCTTGTTGAACAGTTCCCCTCTCTGTCCAGTTCTCCAGCCTGTTGAGGACCTCAGAGYTGGGGCACAACCATCTGGGGTGTCAGTCATTCCTCCCAGGTTTGTATCATCCACRAACTTGCTSTGTGACATCCAGGTCTTGAGTGAACATGCTAAACAGTATTGACCCCTATACTGACCCCAGGGTACACCACTCACCACTAGAGACTTGTCTCCAGCCAGACTTTGTGMCACCTCTCACAGTTCTCTGGGCCCTGTCACTCAGCCAGCTTTCAATCCACCCACTGTCTATTCATCCATGATACAGTGGACAGTGTCAAAAGCTTTATCAAAGTTGAGGTAAACAACATCTGCTGTTCTCCCCTCACCCACCAGGCTAGTCATCTCACTGTGGAAGGCTATTAGGTTGGTTAAGCATGCCTGCCCCTTTRTAAATCCATTCTGATTAGYTCTAGTCAACTTCTTKTCCTTCATGTGTTTGGAAACTTTTCCCAGGAAGGCTTTCTCCATCAYCTTTCCCAAGGACAGAGGTGAGTCTGGCCAGCCTGTAGCACTCTAGACCTTTCTTCTCACCCTTCTTGAAGGTGAGATGGTATTTCCTGTCGTCCAGTCTTCAGGAAGCAATCCTATTCACCATGACTGTTCAGAGACAACCAAGAGTGGCACTGCAGTGGCATCAGCCAGCTGTCTCAGCACTTGTGGCTGCAACCCCTCAGGAACCACAATCAGTTTGTTGAAGCGCTCCCTAATCTGGTCATCCTCCACCAAGGGCAAACCTTTCTCATTGCACTCTTCCTCTGGTCTTAGAGGCCTGGGATTCCTGAAGGCCTGTTTTACGGGTAAAAATCTGAAGCACAGAATGAGTGCATCAGTCTTTTCCATCCGTCATCAGTTCCCCTGCCCAATTCAGCAGCAGATCTACAATTTCCCTAGTCATTTCTCTCGTTGCATATGCACTTGTTCTTGTTTCCATTCACATTCTTTGTCAGATTCAACTCCAGGTGCCTATTGGCTTTCCCAACCCTATCCTTGCAAGATGAGACAAAGAATGCATATTCCTCCTGTGTCACCTGCCCCTGCTTCAACCTCTTGTATACTTTCTTTTTATGTCAGAGTTCAGTAGAAGCTCTTTGCTCATCCACRCAGCCCTCCTGGCTGCTTTTGTTTGATTTCTTACTCGTTGACATGGACTTTTTTTGAGCTCGGAAGAGGACATATCTGAATGCCAACCAGCTCTTCTAGACCCTTCTTCTCTCTGGGGCAGTGTTGCAGAGAATTCATGTTTTTTGTCCATTACAATAGACAATCAGAGTATTATTCTTGTTAAAGGCTGAGAAAAGATCATGTAAAGCCAGATATTCACAGGCATGCAGCAGTATAGAGAGAAGAAAAAAAAAAAACAACAGAGAAGTTCCTTAGGTTTTTATCCCCAAAATATGCAACATCATATTATCTGGTAGGGAAAAGGTTTATTTTTTTTGCTAAATGCATTCCTGCTACCTTTTCCCTTTAGGCCCTATAGCTGATCAGAAAGCCAGCCATATTTTTACTTAATGCAAGTGCTTTAAGAATTCATCAGAGAATTTGTTCTTTTTTTTAATGCATCAAATGATCTGCCATTTTTTCTCTCAGGTTACCTTTTTAAACTTCTCTTTTTTATAGATGGTTTACACACACTAAGACATATTTAGAGAACTGTTGCAATCCACCAGTTCCTGAAATACACCAATATGTAGGAATATATAACAGCAACGAGCACCATATATGAAGGTTGCAATCTGCTCATAAAGAAAGCACTATATATGTTCTGTCAGACACACATGCTTGTTACCTACTCAGAGGGTCTGGAGAGAGAACTCACAAACATGTATTATGCACGTGTGACACTGTGCTGCCACACCACACAAAATGTAGGCATGAAATAAACGCCCTTCTCCACTTTAACATGCAGTCAATCACATACAGATTTCACTCTGGGCATATCCTACCACAGTGCTGACTTCAGAATCCTGGCTTGTACTTCGGACCATAACTGTAGGTCCTCCACTGGGAATAGAGTCAAAATCACTCTTCTGCAATCAAAACATATAAAGGACAAGAACAGTCACATTAGGTTTTACCATAAGGAGACAAGATCACTTCCCATTCTTCTGGGCTCTTGAGCCACATGCCTTATGCTTCCGTAGTTTATTTAACCAACCAAATAGAAACGACTGTCTGACTGTCAAAAAGATCATGGTATCCTGTAACTGAGTTCACAAAGATCAGTCCCCTAGAAAAATGGGCAAAGAAATTTTACCAAATGAGCGTTTCAAGAATACTCAAACCCTACAAGTCTTCCCATAATTAGGTAGTGAATAGAAGAATCCTGTCTTTTACCAYATAAATAAAGCAAGCATAGGAGCCACTGACCTGAGAACCTGAGGCCAAACTAAGGCCACTGTCTGCACTGATTTGGGATTTCTTCTCATCTGTTTCTCCCAAATCAAATTGTTTCACACCTTCTGGTCCTGTTGAAAGCAAAAAGTAAACAATTACTGGACCAAGAAAAAACAGCATAGCAGAAAGCAGATGACAGACTGGAAGCAGGAACAGTACCAATAAAACAGTTTTGCTTTCTCATTTATTTTATTTTTATTTTGTATTCTATTATTCCTTGGTACTGAAAACAACAAGGCAAACAGGACACATCTGCCAGTCTTCAAATATTAGTTTGAATTTCAAATACTATGAAGTCCAGGAGTGACTATAATTAAACAATACCTTTCTTAGCCATTCAAGAGAGATAAGAGGACAGACAACAATCAAGTAGCTTCCAGATACAACGCATGCAGACCAGTTGCCATTCAACTCTAGGAAGCCACTTCCTTTAATTCTTGATAACAAAAAAGGATACCTATTTATTTAAAAAGTCAGAATCCTTTTTTGAACAGCTAAATTTCTCAAAGTCCTGGACTGAGTTTTTTTGGTTGCCCACTGCAACGATCTAGGTAAAAATCAGGCAACGCATGACAAGAAAACAAACAGTGAAAATTGGTGTTACCCAGTGAGTTTTTCAAGGAATAAACTTATATGATGCTGTACTTCACATTCTCCAGTTACACTAACAAATGGCTCTCCAGAGTTGGCAATCACATAGGTCAGTAGAGAGAGAGGGAAATCAGCAAGCTTTTAAGTCATGCATTCATTAACGCGATAATCCAAAAAATAAAGAAGGGAAAGAAAGGATAAAGAACTTCATGTTCAATTTCCCATGCACTGTTAAAATTATATCATCTATTGTCCTTGGATGGGATGGCAGAAGGAAAAGAGAATGAAGGAGAGGTAGAGCCTGAAAAGAGATTTGGATAAGCACTGAATGAAGTAAATAACAATGCAAGAAAACAATGTGTTATAGGCTGTACACAGAATGTCAATACTCTCAGAACGGGGAAGAGACTGAAAGCAACACTTCTGCCATATCCATATCTGCCAACTATTCAGTAACAGGAAGACATGAACAGCTACTGGAGTATTTGTATTATATACCCATGACTATATCTAGTATCTCTAAGCAAACAATGCCACTATCTCTATAATCGCTGATCACAACAACCTAAGAATTATGAACATGTTTGTATTATATGTCATATTAGAGAGGATAAGACAGTGAAAAGGAAAGAAAAAGGGAAGGGAGGAGAGAGAGAGAGAGAGAGAGAAGGATAATATACAAAGATTTGTGGGAGTGAGTTTGAGATGGTATGTAAACTCATGAACAGCAAAGTCATAAGCGGGCTGTGCAGACCATACTAGCTTACTACTCAACCAACTCTTCCTGTGAAGTGTTTACATTTGTTATAGTTTTGTGTCTCTAGATCCAAATGCCTTAGTTACTGTAAATCAGCTCATCAAAGACTCTAAGAAAAAGAAAGCATAAACAAAATTTACTGAGAAGAATAACTAAAATTATCTTTTCTAATAATTTGGAATATTGTTTCTCACTGAAATACACATTGCTCACTTCTAGAGGTCTATTTCCACTCATTCAAGTGGTCATCATTTCTAGCTCTGATACAGCAAAAAGTCTTTTATCTCATTACTAAAGCAATAACACTAAATTTCAGTCGTGTGTTCTAAGCAATTTAGGAGTTTCCTGTCCCAATACAGAAATCAGATACATTTCTGCCAGATTGACTTAAAGGAATTGAAACTGACTGAAGCAATTCAGATTTCTGAGGGCTGTAAGTTTAAGGAGCGCTAAAGCCACAATTACATTGTTGTCACTGTCATTTTACAAGCACTTACAAACCTCCCTTTCCTTCTTTGTGAAGCCATATGTCTAGCACACATGGAACACTAAAACCTCCATTTATCCTTTCCAATGCAGGCACCTATCTGAAAGGCTCAGTGTGGGAGAGCAGGCGTATGCATGTGTTATGTGTCTGTGTCACACGCTCCTACTTCACCAAATAGCAATTCACAACTAAAATATGGTAAGCTGTACTGCAGAGATACCCCATTCACCCCATTCTTTCTGAAGTAACTCCAGATGCTAATTTATACTTGACAGAAGTATTTAATTAAGGTGCCTGAAACTAATGTAAGCAAATGCAGTCCTAGTCAGAATGTCAGGAATTTTCACTTATTCATCTCAGGTATTAATCCTTCCCAAACTTCAGTCTGTGAAACAGGCATCAGCTCTGCAAAGCACAAACTACACTTGTGGTTAGGAAACACCTACCACAAAATGGTTGTTATAAACTAGCTGGTGTCCTTATGCCATATGTCCCTATTTACAACAGTGACAATCAGAAGAGCAAAACCTTGTACTATACCTGCATATTATACATGTTCAATATTTTATTCATTACCATATTTCAACAGATGTTCAGAATTGTGTAGATTTAGACTATTATTTAGACTCTGCAACAGCCTCAAACTATTTCACTCCTCCTTTACCAAGGGATATAAAAAAACAAAATCYGGTTGATTCCTTATTATGAGGCTATTTTCTAGCAGCCATCACTAAATACAATTCTTCACATATACCTTCTCTCTCGCCCTCAAAAGTATTTCTTGTTGCAGACTGACTGCTCATGGTTGATGCCAGTTAACAATATTTGCCATCCCACAGCTTGAACAAACAGGGAATTCTTCATTCCAGTAACATTTAATCAATCAATATATCCATGCCAACAACTTGCTAAACAAGTTTTAACTTTTAAGGAAGCAGATGGAAGTATCCTAAAATTCTTTCATATTTATCTGATTGGTGAGGATGCAGAACACCTGCTTCCCCTTCTTTGAAAAAGGCAACATTCAGGAGAGGAAAAAAAAGAAAGGAAAAAAAAAAAAGAAGAGACATTTGAACACAATTTCCTCAGGGCAAACACATCTGTTTGGTCTCTCTAATGCAGACTCTCTTGATAGACTTTGTTCTTGTATAAACAGTACAAAATCAGTGTGCCATAGATGCAAGCTCACCCTGCACCTGGGGAGTTGGCAGTTATGGGGAGGCTGGAGGAGTCAGTTTCTACATTTTTTTAAATTTCCTTACTCGTTTTTTCCAAAGATTTTTGCTTTTTCACTTCCTGGTGCTTGTTCCACAATTCTACCCAAGATGCATTGAAAGCAGGAGAGAAAGAGAAAGAGTCAGCGGCTGGTCAGACAGGTGAAAATGGGGAAAAAAATTTCCAACAAAAAACCCACCCCTTCACCTCAAAAAAAAAAAAGAAAAAACAAAAAAGAAAAAAAGGCAGAGGTTTACGACAACTACTGAGTGAAGGGTTAATTAACACCATTTTAAAATAAACCAATGTTAGGTATTGAGCACTGCATCATCTCTTAGCAGAAATCAAACACTGGAGATGACTTCACACAGTTGTAGTGGTGGACCCCGTTCCCCTCCTTGGGCTGCACTTTGGCAACAGTGAATCAACTAAGGAAAAACAGCTCTTAGAAACAAATAATTAAYCACCTTTTCTAAGAAAGGGATTTAAGACTGCCAGATATTTAATCCTCTAAAACATAAGTATCACAGAAGCTCTAATTAACAGAAACATTTTAATGTCTCTAGTTTATATCACTGAAAGGAGAAAGACACAAAAGCAGCAGCAGCAATTCCAAAAATAATAAAGTGTAGGTTAACACAACACTTAACCAATATTTTATCTTACAGATTATCACAAAGTTTACAAGTTATTTTTGACCTGACAACATTCTCAATAAATGCTTGGCTCTGCCTATGAACCATTCTACATGCAAAGAACTGAGCTACTCTGCCTCCACTTGTTCCTATCACGGTGTAGAGAACAGAAAACAGTGAAGAACTAAAATGAGCRAGACAGCAGGCATGCTTAACTCCAAATTCCAAATCTCAAAATCACAGCACTCAAATCAAGCAGAATTCTGTAAGAGGATATACAATGCACAGAACAGCAAAACAGTCTGAAGTTTTCTTAAAATTGCATTTGAAACTTAGCCCCAGGACAAAACAGTGATGTGGCACTTGCACTTTTCTACCACCCACATTGCTCAACCCTCTGAAATGCTGTCACCTCTTCTGCTTAGAAACATCAGATCATTCCAGGTACTGGCCTGTGGGCCARAGGAAATCACAAGCTGACATGCAGAACTAACTCTAAATGTTAGGCACTGTCCTCTCTCACTAGCACCATTAAAGCTGGGGATGCTACAGAGGAAGATCCTTTTAGRAAAGTGGCAAAGGAAAGGAAAAAGAAGTAAAATGTTCTTTTACTGCTCTTCAAGAAAACTTCCTGAGCAACTAAAAGGTCACTTAAGTGTGTCAGAAACCCATTCCACACTGCAAATAGCAGAAATAAGTGCAAGGAAGGCTCTAAAAAAGTTCTATCGAGCAAAATGTCCACTGGAAAAAAAAAATTAAAAGGATAGTGCCATAACTGTGGAGGAAGGCTCCARAGTATTATCAAAAAAGACATCAGGAGTGAGACAAATGCAACATGGTAGAAAAAGCTAGAAAGATAGCTTCTAGCCTACCAATTTCTAGATCTGCTCCATGATTGATGGATGTTCCTTCAACTTTCATAAATAGACAGATGGATAGAAAAAAATTGTTTAGGGATCCAAACAGCATCCTACAGGCTTATCAAGCTGAGCACACACTGACACAGATAACAATCTCTAAGATGGACTGAATTTATTTGTTAAAGAGCTTTGAAAACATCTGGTCTCCTCCGTGCTCAGTCTATAYGGCTTTACTTTAAAAATCACCAGTCTGAAAACTACAGTACCTGCCATTAAATTACTTCTAGCTGACTTGTCTGTTAATTCAGTGTACAGTATATCCTAGCACATTAAAAACAGACTAGATTTTACTCTCAACTACTTAATCAAAGAAGAAAAATAAAACTTCAAATAAACTCATGTGGCATAAAATACTGCATCTATAACTTCATTACATGACCCTGAACTAAACTGGACAGCAGATCCAAAAAGGACCTGATGCAGACAAATTATGTAGCACAATCTTTCCTGTTTAAAAAAATAGAAAAAAATAATGTATCTGAAGGATTAAACAAGTATTTAGAAACTAGTAATGGAACCTTCAGTAAGTACAGACATTTTCATTATCAGTTATGTAAAGTAGGCAATAAACCAAACTAATCACTAACAAATGGGGGGAAACTATTAACTGTTAACTTCATAGCCAYGAATGTCCTAACAAAAAGACCAACACTATGGTGTTGACATGGTGATGACAATGAACCCTGGAAGACAAGAACCCCAGAAGTAAGCAACKGGTGATGTTTTAGGAAACAAAGTTTCAGAAGCATCATCTTCACAATGAATTTTCTAGCTAGGATTTAGGTATCAAAATTTAGGTATCAAGATCAAACCTCAGCTGGTAAAAATTCATCCCACTTCACCTCAGAAGTAGGAAACTCTGTGAACTTCATGGCCATCATTCCTGGAGTACAAGAAAACTGCACAGATTCAGCTACCACAGCTCTAGATCTCAGATGCAGTTTATTCCCCACACTAACATACAGTTAACATATGACTACTGCAAACAGAGCAGTGCATTATTTTACTCCATCCTTCTGAAGACTTCTCATTCTAGTATTTTCTCCTGTATCTAGGTCAAAAGGTTAGCAGCCCAATTTGTATTCTGTTTATACAATACCAAGAGATGAATTCAGTTTTGTTTATATATCTGCAGCCTGGTGTAGGTTCTAAATACCATCCAAACTTCACAGAATCAAGGAACACATGAAGTTCAAAGGGACCTGTGGACATAATCAAATCCAAAGTCCCTGCTCAAAGCAGGGTCGACAAAAGCTGCCTGCCACAGGACCATGTCCAGTCAGGTATTCACTGTCTCCACAGATGGAGAATCCACCCCCTTTCCAGGCAACCTGTTGCAGKGTGGATCATCTTCACATAAAAACATTTTTTCTCATGTTTAAATGGAACTACTTACAAATACTTTGTTATTTCAGCAACATGTAAATGTTTACCAAATGCTCTTCCCTAAATAAATTAGTTTGAATGAGAACAGTTGCATTTCCCTACAAAAGGAATTTCAACCAAGCCATGACTAACTCCAGTACCATATATCCTATGCTCTCTTATTCTGAAGTTTCCACGACAGAACGAAAAAGAAACATAACGGCCAAGCAGCTTTAAATTATGGTCCTGCAACACAAGAGAAACTTTCTTTACTTCCAGATCACGAGAGAGAGAGAGATGAACATGGAGACTATATTGTTTTTACAGCAACTTCCTAACCAGTTCATGGTTAAACACGAAAGCAGCTAGAAAGAAAGGGYTCCAGAAAAACATTCAAGTCTTGTGAACTTTGGTCAGTTTTGGTAAAACCAAACCATCCTTCTTGTAACTTAGCTCCACAGAAGAYAAGATTTTCCTCTAGGAAATCATCATAGCATCAGAACAAACGACAAAAATTACCTTTGCCTGACCTTGAAGACTGTGAATTGTTTAAGGCTGGCAAAACAGTATTTCAATATTCTGGCAACAGTAGTTAACATGGCATATTAAGTAGCACTTCTTTGAAAAGCATTTCTCATGATGCTTCACAAACTGGAACTATCTGATCTCTAKGATTTCCATTTCTATGAGGCATTAATTTAATCTAAGGGAAAGACGCAGTCTTAGCAATCTCATCAAAAGATTTCATTCTTTAAAAGAACACTGTCCTAGAGCCTGGTTTACTCAGAAGTGTACTTTTCTTTTTCTCTTCTACAGAAAAGYAATCAAGTACCCAAAGCAAATCAAACAACTAACTGAAACACTGGAAATCTGAATATGAATCCYTTTCAGCTTCCTGACAGCTTTGCAAATACCGTGCAAGACTAGTTCCTAACCAACTGGTTCCACATATTACCCCTTTAAACAAGAAAGAAAATCAAGTCAGAGAATTCAGAATCAATTCAGGACTCAACAGCRTCCAGCCTGCAGTTATGTGTGTGTAAGAATGAATGTCTGCACTCCTCACATTTAACTGCTCAACTCACACATTCCCCTGTCTTATGGCACATACTACACTTATATCCTCACAGCACCACACTTTCAGAAGATTAATSTTTCATACAATTATTCCATTAAAATGTTATTTTAAATAGGCTATAAGAAGCAATGTCTAAAATTTAGCATAATATATTTTTGCAGTTGACAGAAAATTTCTCATATGCTGATGGCACTTCTCATGTTTATAACCCACAGCCCACTGGATTCAACCAAAATATTTTTTTTTCTCCTCCACCAAAAAAAATCTGTAAAGTCCTTTTTAAATAAAACAGTTCTGAAAACCCTACCTCAAACTTTTTCTCAAGACACAGCAAAAAGCTATACCATCTAAAAAGTAACATAGGAAAGTCTCCAGAGACCAGCCCAGCAGATGCTGTTTAGAAGAACACACATTCTATTTGCTGTTGCACAGAAGGAAAATCCATCAGTCCTGCTCACTGAAATTGTAACACTATAACTAAATTTTTTTGGAAATTTTATTGTTAACAAACAGCAGATTTTAGATCCTACTTTTATCAGGATACAATCTACATTATTSACAGGCAGCCAGCAATGATAGAAAAACCTTTGATTCATGTTTCCCTTCCACAGTTGCCCTTTCTGAAGTCCTTGCTGTCCCTGTTTCTCTTCTGCAATTCCTGCTGCTTGAAAACAGCACAGAGCAATAAATAAAACTATTTAAGGTGTAATTAAATATAGAAACAATTAAAACCAGACAGCTTCCGGGAGAAAAATTGTGGGGGATCATTTATCCAAGAGTAGAGTGAGAACACACATGATTGTTCCTTGTGATCCAAGGTGTAAATGAAGCATGTTATGTGGTGTGTTAAAATGGAGAAAATGCAAATAGAACCTAATGCCAAAACAGAAGTCCCCCCTGCACTTCACATGCACCTCAATACACACCAATGGAAGCAATAAAATTTTCTTCCTTTAGACTTCTTGTGTCAAACTCCCTCAGCCCTTTGCCTGCAGGGCTCGGTGGCTTTGGCATTAGATGAGGTACTGGCAGCTGCATTGCAGGTTTTGGCTCCACTCTTGGGGATGATGCAGGATCCTTGCCAACTGGAGTGACCGATCCATCTGTGGGACTTCGTTTTCTCTTTTCTGGTTCTTTAAATAAAAAGAGCAGTGTTGAAAAAAAAATATAAATAAATAACTAGGAAGAAACATAAGGAATAGGAAATGAGAGCAGGAGAAGAAAGCTGAGACAGATGGTCTCACCTAAATCATTAAGGCTGGCACTGAAACAGCTCAGTGCCACATTTGTTCCCATAGGTCACGGCTTGGTGATAGTCTGACACACTGGTGGAAACAGTAGAGAAAGCCAGAGTGCTGTTTTAGGGATACTCAAGAATCTCATTCCTGAATATTTGAAACCTAGKAATAACCYTAACGCTAACCCTAACTCTAGCATCTCCTCCACCAAGTTGCAAAAATGAAATCACTCTGCCTAAATTATCAAGAACATAATTTATAGAAGGTAAGCTCCTCTCGCAGTGCAAAGATGAAAAATACCATCATTTTCATGGGTAACATACAATGAAACTTCCATTAGGGAAAAAAACTAAACAAAAAACCCTGTCAGCTATAGTCCTTCCATCAATCTCTGAGACTTCCTATAACCATGTCCCCAGGGGCAGTTTGGATTATTTCTCTGTATCAAACCCCACAGTYTGGATTACAGCAAAACCTTCAGAATAAGACCAGGCTTTCCATAAARAGCCTCCTGCAATCCTGCACAAACTATTCCAATATCTGATGAGTCTAATAGTCAAAACATCACATCTATTATCTAAATCTGTCACACCACTAGGCCTTGTGACACCATTGCTCAGCAGATTTAAGATTCTGCTACCAGCAACGCCTTTCTATTTAGATAATAACTGAAAATAATTGACACTTAGCACTCAACAGACTGAACAYTTCCATCCTTCAGAGGCAAAACTGTTTTTCCAATAACCTGCAGATCTTCTCAGAAACCTCCTCAGTTTTGCAAGATGTGATGATCAGAACASGAAGCACTACCTTAGTTGTGGGTCTTGTTACTGATATATCAAGATACCATATAGTAGCTTTATTTCAAATGYATATTCACAGAAAGAAACAGTGTCCCCTTCTCCGTTTTTACAGACACAGTAAACAGCAGAAAGATCACACGCAGCTGCCATTTTCAGAGAGCCTGCTTCCTAGGATATACTTCCCAATCCTACTATTATTTTCCTCCCTATTGAGATTGCCTGCAACAACTTTCCAAGACTGTGGTGGGACAGTTACAGCTGAAGSTCCCCACTCCCAGAATTTCCACTTTAGCTGTAAAGTGTCAGGTTTTGTATCTCACTGTAGAGTTTCCATTTTCAATTACATACGAGTATGGCCRTTATTTTGCTTTGATCCAGCTGCATGTGTGTAAGAAACACAAAACAGGCTTCAAGCTTTGTAAGGTTCAATAACAATGGTACAATGCTTGGCAATTTGGAAGTGCTGGAAAACCCCTGAAATATCAGAAGGCACAAAAACAGCTACCTTCCCAATAAGGATCTTGTTTGGTTCATAAACATTGTATTCTCACGAACATTTCTCTTACCTTTATTATAATAGTGAGTGTGTGCTATCTCTAGCAGGCCAAAAACACTGGCCATGCCTCCCAGGCCAGCATTTGCATATGACTGCTCCAGGCTTAACACAGTGCACTTCAGCAGGTCCAGCATGCCTTTATAAACCTTGCGGCTGATCTCCTGCAATGAAAACCCCRTTAGCGCTGCTATTTCAGACGTGAGAAAATAATTCAAGAACATAAATTCCAAAACCGCTGTAAAACCAGCTTTTCACAATTGACAAAAACTTCCTGTGTCAGCAGACACTCAGTGTGTGGAGCCTGCTGAGTTGAGCACTGACCACATCCTGTATGACATCCTGTCGAGCATCTTCTTCGGACTGGATGGCGCGATTCAGCTTGCTCAGCACGAACACACGCAGCTGCTCGCTCTCCAGCAGACGTCGCACTCTCTTCATGTTCAGCCAGCCAACACCTTGCCCATCAAGAACATTGTGTACCACCTCCTTCAGGAACTGCTGGTTCTCACTGATAGATTTTAGAGAAAGCAGGCAAAAGTTAATCACCCTCTGCTTACTTTGGCTTGCGTAGGAAGGGAGCTATGGCCTGGGCACACACAGAAGTACTTTTCCTATCAACATACTTAACATCTAGCTCTGCCTGCTGCTAACGTTATCTGCACACAGTTCCATGAGTGTAGGATCAAATATTTTATTTTGTCCTTAATTTCCTATAATAAGCCATAATCAGCCCCTCTAGGGGCTGTCTAGATACCCCACTTTACCCTTCACCTTCACAGAACTTCTGAGAAATCCACAGGAATCCTTTATGCCTCAACCTTCTTCCACAGCMCCCATGTCTGAGCTGTAGGCTTTCTTTGAAACAGGAAGTGCAGCACTACTAATGCATTACTGCAGCAGCCTTGGCACATGTTTTATGTGGCCTGTTTGTTCAGCTTTTTTTTCCACAGAGGGAAAGTTAAGAAGAAGAAAATTCCAGGGCAACTTGCTGCATTCCTCAGTCTGAACTGCAGTTATTGCTCTTTTTTGTCTCCCAAACCCAGTAGATCTAAGTAAATTCACTCCACTCATGAATGCTACGTAAGAATGGAAGGAGAAAGCACAAGCATGGGTCAGGTAATGTTTACTTGCACCTAAGTCCCTTCCCAAGGTTGAGAAAAGCATTTCACATGAATTCATGGAATCGAACTGCTTCATTGGACTTAGCCGAACCTCCTGCACGGTGTATTAAAACTCTACTGGGGCTAGATCATCTGGTTCAGAACCAGGTGATCAATTCAATTCCAAAGAATAACTACAGAGTTAAAAAGTAGGAACATAGAACTTTTTGGATCTCAGAGAGGAGGATACATTTTGAAGCACAGAAAAATAAGCATGTGTGCTATTAACYGTAGGATCACCCATACCAAATTTTCTCATAGAATATGTCCTGTACAATACGTCCAGGTCTAGGACCACAGAAAAGAATTATTTAGTTTTTAACAGCTGGACTTCTGAGAAAACACTGGCCAAGTATGAGACCACTCTAACCACAATGTACACTCGAAAAGCAACAAAAACTGTTACCTGGAATTGCTAGTTCGTCCCTGAGGTGATGGAGATTCTCTTTTCACTGTTGGGCTGTGCTTTATGACTGAAGACTTCTGATCAACAAGGGCCCGTCTGTTTCCTAAAGAGGAAAGGAAACAGAATGAGAGGGAAGGGTGGGAGGAAAATAATCTGATCCCAGGACAGTAACAAGCAAYGCTAAAGTTGGCTAACACACCTATTTGAATTACAGGTAACAAACTTCAAACAAAATGGAAACTCCAAAAAAGCAGCAGCGTATATAATATTCTAGCATCACACATCGGCAGAAAACAGTAATGGGAGTAATGCAGAGAGAAAAAGAGAAGATGGTAATGGGAGCAGGAGGTGAGAGGCAGGAAAAGTTTGGCTGCTGTGCATGCAGTTCCACAACAAGAACCATCTTCAAATTAGTCACTATATGTAAAAGCATAATGCATTGAGGGTGACTAGTATAGATCATGTGGTACTGGTTACCCAGTGAGAAAGGTAGCCCAAAGTCAGGCATAGGGAATGCTGGAAATTGTTACATCATGCACAGCTCATGCTGTAGGGAACCCACCTTCATTGCTTACTGGGCCAGCTTCAGTAATAATCTCCATTATAGTATTTAACCCAAATACTGGGACACAAAATAYACAATTAGTAGTGTACTGCTATATTACACTCCCCACTGTCAGCATCAAAAGAGTCCAACTAGCAGCTTTTTCCCAGCCCTCCCTCAAAATAAAACCCAAATGACACTAGAGCAGGATGGATGTTTGAAAGCCCAAGACCACAAGGGCCAGAACAACTTATCTCAAGAGAGTGCTTGACTTGAAATTTGGCATTGTGGAACCAATGTATTGCATCTTCAAGGGCACTACTAAACATACTGTATTTGAATGGCACTACAAAAACCATCTGCATCACCAAGGAAATAAATCAATGGATGYGCATGAAATAAAAATTAAAAAGGAAGATGGGAAGTGGTCAAACAGCAGCAATGAAATGGCATCCCAGCATCATTTCCCATTACAGTTAGAAAACACACACTTGGCGAGAACAAGTTAATGCAGCAACTCTATATCTCTACAACAGAGACAAAAACATCTAAAAACCACTGAAGTGCCCAGTGGAAATCCCAGTGAGCCAGCATGCACATGTAAATGAACACACACACACACACACACACACACACACTTGCACATGCATAAAACAGACTGAGCTACTCCATGGAAATCCCATCCTCATATCTGCATAGTAACATTAAAGGCCCTACAGGATTAAAACAGTTAAGAAAAGAACACCAAAGTGCAGAAGATGAGGCACAAAGCATGAATGTGGAATGGCAAACCCCATCACTGTTTTCTTCCAATGCATGGAATCAGTCATTAAGTTCACCCATGGAAACCACTCTGACATGAAGCATGTTTCTTATCCAGTACAACTGGACATGAAAACAGAACCAACTGGTAAAAGGTTGTCAAAAACAGCTGTGCAGAGTCTCTGTCAGTGTTTTCACCCTACCAGTCCTGTTACTCCTCATTTTACACACAGGGAATGATTACTTGTCTCAAAAACAAAGTCCAAAGCAGAAACACGAAATCCAGCTTTTGGTCTTTGTTTCTACAAGGTCAAAGGTCAGCAAAACATCATACCAACCTTCATCCACATCCCTTCCCAATTCCAGATTAAAGTAATCTTTACCGATAAAAGTGATGAGGAGGAAAAATAAATGAAAAAAAATCAATACATTAAAACAAAAGCAGTAAATTCTAATCAGATAGAATAACCCAAAAGGCAAAATAAAACTTCTCCTCAGTACAGCATCTGAAAAGGTCTCAACTCTAAGACAGGAGCACAAGCTCAGTTACCCCTCCAAAATTACATCTGGTACAAGGATGACCAGGCTGTGTAACGCCCCATGGTGTGAGGGCCATTTTCCTAGTGCCCATTCAGACASGTTATCTGATGATACTGCAAACAAACAGGAGATGTTCTAATGAAAAGATTGCGCACGTATGCTAGGGATTGATCTTCACTCTCAGAGAACCAAAGCATGGTTGTAATTTGATTTTCTATTTAGCGATAAATGCTTTTGAAACTCACATAATCTGCAGTGTCCATGGGAGGTTGGCATTATCCCTAATTATAAATGCAGCAGCATCACTCTAATAAATTACTTAAGGCTAAGCATGAAGACAATGGCCGTACAAAAGTAGGACCTACCTCTTGGTTCCCATTCTTTATATTAAGTACTTAAAAATAAAACGAAACAAAATAYACTGTAAATGTTGGTTTTGTTTTGTATCTGTTAACACAGCCTAGACCAGACACTCTCCCATCCCAACACAGCCTAATTGTTGGGAAGAAGACTGACTGAGAAATACCAAGACAATTTATGGTCTCAATTCTTAACATAGGTACTACCCAAATGAYCAAAAGGTATCATTGCCAGGATTCCTGTTAGACTGCCAAGTCACAAGAAYTGTAAAGGCTGTAGAAGACAAACAGAAGAATGGTTACCTTTCAGGCTGGGAAAGGGAGTATTCTTGTCTCTCCCAACTTTGGTTGGTAGGGCTAAGTTGGACAGACTGAAACTTGTGCTGTGGTTTCTGTACAGGCTGCCTGTGACAGAAGAGAAAAGCATTTAAATGCCTGCTGCTCACTGCACACACCCAAACATCCTGTAATTCACTGTCTTATTTCAGATCATTAATGATTAAGTTCTTCTTTATTACCCAAAAGTCTCACAACCATACATTACATTGAAACCACATATGTAATCAGATTATTCTAAACACTACCAAACCCTAAGTCTTAGCATTTATGTCACAATAATTGATGTTGGATCTTAGTGACTTGTGTCTTGTGAAACATGGTAAATCTGCCATAGAACCATGCTTTGAAATAGAAGCTTTTCATTTATTAGGAAAAAACATACATTCTTCCTGGTATAGACACATCTTAAGGACACAATAATGCATCATCATCTGCTTAAGCCTGTAGAATGCCTGAAAGCATCACATTTAGATAAAAGAACTAACATTTCAACTTATTGAAGTGCCACCATATTATTTCAATTTGCTTTGGTTCTTTGTTTTTTTGTAGTCTTACTTTAGTAGCAGTCATTTTACCAGAAATAACCAATATATTTTCCCCAGTGTTACAAACTTCTTTCACTGCTTTTCACTGTAGTGCAAGACTCAACTGGCCACATCTTCTGTCACTCATTAAGAAATTCTAGCTTAGTGCTCACACCTGTGAATTTTTTTACTAAAATATAATGGAAAGTAGGCAGGAATTGAATTTGGCACCTAAACATACAACATGGCAGCATGGAAGGCATACTACTGTAAAATTTTTTTATGKATTTCCTAAAATTGCACAACACTTYGTTTAAATCAAACTGAAGGAATTACTAATCTGTGCCCTAAAGTGTCATACAACCCAAGGGGCTAAGCACAAAACCAAAGTCCTTCTAATTGAAGAATATATAAAGCAGTAGTTGTCAGCAGCTGACAGAAAGCCAGCATGACTACTTGAGAGCTGGTAACAATTTGACAATCAACTCATTCTCTTGACTAGCCATCCCTCTAATTCCAGCTTTCTGTAAACTCTGATATTATAAATAAAACTAGCTTAATTAATGCATTTGTACWTACTTGCAAAAGACATGATGCCCCCAAAACCTTCGCTGCTGTTGTTGGAGACAGTAGAGTTTGGGGAGCTGGCCCTGGAATCTGAATCTGCATCAGAATCACTGGCCAGTTTTAAACTGTTTGGCCGGAGTAACTTCTGAGACCTTTAAAAAAATTAAGTACAACTGTTACTAGCATCCCCCCTTCCTGCCCCAAATCAACACATTATATGACTGTGGGAGGCTGATGTTGGTCTCATTCCCATCAGTTTTCACCACATGACCTGCACCTTTGGG